CTGGGACTACAAACACCCACCACCATGCCCAGCTAATTTGTGTATTTTTGGTAGAGACAGGGTTTGCCATGTTGGCCAGCCTGGTCTTGAACTCCTGGCCTCAAGCAATCTACCCACCTCAGCCTTCCAAAGTGCTGGGATTACAGGCGTGGGCCACCATGCTCAGCTTCTTCCCTTTACTTCTGAGAGGCTACACTAGTCTGTTTTTCTCCTGTGTTTCTTAACGTTCTTCTGCCTCTTGGGACTCAGCTGGCTTCGTGTGTAGTAAGTGATGGCACTCTCTGAGGATTCCCTTGGGCTCTCTGTGTTCTACTTTTCTCCCACAGAAAGCATTACTACACCCCTAGGGGCCATTGTCACCTCTCGGTTGATTACTCTCCAATCTCTAGTCTCATCTCTGGAGCATGTCTCACATCAGATGAATTGCCTACTGGGTGATTAACCTGGGGTAATTATTGATTACTCTTCTGTCACTTCAAATACAAAATGTCTAAAATGGAAATACTCATCAAAACACTTCCTGTAATCCCAGCACTTTTTGAGGCTGAGGTGGGCAGATCATCTGAGGTCAGGAGTTCGAGACCAGCCTGGCCAACATAATGAAACCCCATCTCTACTAAAAATACAAAAGTTAGCTGGGCGTGGTGGCACATAACCTGTAATCCCAGCTACCCAGGAGGCTGATGCAGGAGAATTGCTTGAACCTGGGAGACAGAGATTGCAGTGAGCCAAGATCATGTCACTGTACTCCAGCCTGGGCAACAGAGGGAGACTCTGTCTCAAAAACAAAACCAAAAAACTAAAAAACACTTCCAGTCAGTCTTTTAGTTCCCCCAAGTTCCAAATCCTCCAGGAAGCTTTCCCAGAATGCCCTGCTCTGTGGTAATTTCTCTTTCGTCTGAGCTCAGATAGTGATTGCTTAAATAGATGGCTCTTTGAGCCCTAAAAAGACATAAGAATGTACCTTATCTTTTCAACCAGATTTTAGGTTTCTTGTAAGTGATAGTATGTTTTGAGCATCTTTGTATTCTTCACCATGCTCGATAAATCTGTTGATTAGGTGGAAGGGTAGTTTTCTTTTTTTGAGATGAGTCTTGCTCCGTCGCCCAGGCTGGAGTGCAGTGGCGCTATCTCAGCTCACTACAACCACCTCCCGGGTTCAAGTGAAGAGTAGTGTTCTATCTTGTCAATGCATGTGGTATCCCTGTGGAGCTTTCTAAAAACATGGAAAATGTCTGGGTCCTTCCTTGTTAGGATTGTAATTAGGATTATAATGTATATTTCGTTTTGCACTTTTTTTTATTATTTGAAAGATCTCTCTGTGTCACCCAGGCTGGGGTGCGGTGGCATCATCTTAGCTCACTGCAGTCTGAAATTCCTAGACTCAAGTGGTCCTTTCACCTCAGCCTCCCAAGTTCATAGGATTACAGGCACCCGCCACCATGTCCGGCTAATTTTTAAAATTTTTGTAGAGGCAGGGTCTCACTCTGTTGACCAGGCTGGTCTCAAATGGCCTCAAATGATCATCCCGCCTTGACCTCCCTAAGTGCTAGGATTACAGGTGTGAGCCACCATGCCCGGCCTTTATTTTGTGCTCTTAATTTTAGTTAACTTGTGATAACATAACCCCATATTCTTAAATATTCTTTGATCACCTGCTTTTTTTCCCCCTGTTTATAATTATTTGAATAGGATCCAAATAAGGCATAGATACTACATGTGATCCTTTTGTCACATACGTCTTTTTTATTCTGTAAAAACTGCCCTTCTCTCTCCTTCTCTTTTACTCTGATAAAATACATAACTTAAATTTGCCATCTTAATCATTGTTAAATGTACCATTCAGTGGCATTAAGTACTTACACAGTGTCGTGCCACCATGACCGCTATTTCCAAAGTTTTTCATCGCCCCAAACAGAAACTCTACCCGTTAAACAATAGCTCCCTATTCCCTTTGCCCTCTACCCACTAGTAACTTCTAATCTGCTATTTTTCTGTATGAATTTGTGTATTCTAGAAAGTGGAATCATACAATATGTGCCCTTTTGTGTCTGCCTTATTTGACTTAGCGTAATGTTTTGAAGGTTTATCCATATTTTCGCATTTATCGAAACTTCATACCTTCTTACAGCTAGATAATATTCATATATGTGTACATATCTCATTTTGTTTATCCACTCATCTGTTGATGGAGACTTGAGTTGTTTCTACCTTTTGGATATTTTGGATATTGTGAATAATGGTGCTGTGAACATTAGCATATAAGTATGTTCGAGTCTCTTGTTTTGTTTTGTTTTGTTTTGTTTTGTGTTGAGACAGAGTCTTGCTGTTACCCAGGCTGGAGTGCAGTGGCATGATCTTGGCTCATTGCAGCCTCTGCCTCTCGGGTTCAGGCAACTCTCCTGTCTCAGCCACCCAAGTAGCTGGGACCACAGGCATATGCCACCACACCCAGCTAATTTTTATATCTTTAGTAGAGACAAGGTTTCACCATATTGGCCAGGCTGGTCTCAAGCTCCTGGCCTCAAGTGATCTGCCTGCCTGGGCCTCCCAAAGTGCTAGGATTACAGGCGTGAGCCACCGCACCTGGCTAAGTCTCTGCTTTTAATTCTTTTGGGTCTATACCTAGGAGTGGAATTGCTGGGCCATATATTATTAACCCTGTTTAATTTTTTAGGAGCTGCCAAACTGTACATTTTATTTTCGTTTTTGTGATATTTACCTAACATGACATGGGCATGACCCTATATCCTACATATTATTTGAATACATAATTTTTAATGAATGGATAGTAGTCAATTTTTGGACGAACTATATGTAGTTCCCTGTGTTGAACATTTAACAAATACTCAGTACCTATTTTAATAAATCCTGGCAAGAAAATTAATGTGTGCATTTGTACCTTTTGGAGTAGATTATTAGAAATAGAATCACTGGATTTAAATATATAAACATTTTAAAGACTTACAGCACATTTCCAAATTGTCATTTAGAAAGGTCGCTTCAGTGTATATATCCTCCAGCAATATGTGAAATCATTGTTTTTACTACCCTGATCCTGAATATGAGATTGAACCACGTGTAATCAGTTATTTTGACCTGTTAAACCAGCAATTTTATATAATTTAACTTAATATTACTTTAAAAATTGGTAGCTTGGTAGGTAAAAATGTCATATTTTTAGCATTAATGTTTATTTATTTGATTACTATTAAGATGAACAATTTTTTCATGTGTTTATTGGCCACTGGTATCATGTTAAATGCCTAGTCATGATTTTGCGTCATTATTCTTTCTGTTTTTCTTGCCAATTTTAAGAACTCTCTCTATATTAGACTTAGGTATCCTTCTTTTTTGAGATGGAGTCTTACTCTGTAGCCAGGCTAGAGAGCAGTGGCACGATTTTGGCTCACTGCCAACCTCCGCCTCCCGAGTTCAAGTGATTCTCCTGGCTCGGCCTCCAGAGTAGCTGGGACCACAGGCATGCGCTACCATGCCCAGCTAATTTTTGTATTTTTCCTAGAAATGGGGTTTCACCATGTTGAGCAGGATGGTCGCTATCTCTTGACCTCGTGATCTGCCCACCTCGGCCTCCCAAAGTGCTGGGATTACAGGCATGAGCCAACTCGCCCGGCCAACATTTAAGTATCCTTCTGTATGTTACCATACTTTCTGAAGTTTATGTTTTTTTTTTTTTTTTTTGGCATATGGAAGTTTAAAATGTTTATGTGGCTGAATGTTTGGCAGATTTTTTGATACCTGTAACTATTGTGCCTGCCTCTTCCTCTTTTGGGAATAGTGTGTTGCTTGATGTTACTATTATTTACTTATCTTTTTTTATTTTTAAGAAAGGCATTTTTGGTATTTTATCCCAGATTTAAAAATACTACATTTCATTGAATTCAGGAAATCATCAATTGTAAGCATATTATTTGATATATCACTAAAAGAAAAATAAGATAGCATTTACACTGTCACATAAAACATCACTCAAAAGATAATCAGATACATCTTTTTTTTTTTTTTTTGAGATGGAATCTCCCTCTGTAACCCAGGCTGGAGTGCAATGGTGCGACCTTGGCTTACAGCAACCTCTGCTTCCTGGGTTCAAGTGATTCTCCTGCCTCAGCCTCCTGAGCAGCTGCAACTGCCACCATACCTGGTTAATATTTTTATTTTTAGTAGAAACAGGGTTTTGCTCTGTCGGCCAGGCTGGTCTCCAACTCCTGACCTCAGGTAAACCACCTGC